GGAAAGAGGATCCCGCTATAAAAAAAGAAAAAAAATTACAGCGATTATCACAGTGTCTAGGCGTTCCTCTTTCCGCATTACAACTCCACCCAAAAAAAAGAAAAAAAAATATAAAGGATAGATATAATAGCTCAAAATTACTTGTAACCACATTTTTTTTATATTAACGCGTAAGAAACAATGAGTTGTTCTTTTTCAGATAAAGAATCAGTAGTACTTATAAGCATAAAAGCTGAGGCAGAACCTTGCGCAAAAGTCCATCCTCTAGCTTTTGTCTCTTGGCGGCTTGAAACCCATTGTCGGAAGGATCTTCAGAATTCTTCACCCTTTCCGCAATAAGTGGCTTTCGTGATCTAACATTGAAGATTAAAATGACAGAAGAAAAAGAATCTATCTATCTATCTATATATATATATATATATATGAAAAACAGTTATCTCTCCCTTTTACTCTCTCTCTAAAATCCTGAAGCATCCTTGGAAAACAGTTTCCTCAACTTCTTTAGCATAATTTAATTACAAAATGAAGAAGAAAAAATGTAATAGTGTAAGGCCAAAATTAATCATCCACGAGTACACCGTCGAAAATTTAATTTTAATTGTAAATTTTAAATTTTAGAATTACAAAATTTTAAACTTGATATAATATTTCGGTTGTAGGAAAAATTGCTCATGTATGTATGAAATATGTTGAGTCAATTAGCTCTAGTTTAAAAATGTGACCATTATTTAATAATATTGCAACTATTCATTTTGATGAGCATTTAATCTAAAATAGTTCTTATTATCTATGTAAACTAATAAAATATTTTTTGAAATGACAAATAAAGCTATTAGAGTCTAAAAAGCTTCTGATTTTGAGTTCATCAACAATATTTTTTATAATTCTATCTGGGCTAACACATCCGACGGTTGAATCGTTTCATGTCATCAAGACGTTCCCAAACACGGATTGAATCGTTTCATGTCTTTGTGCATAAAAATATAATGTGATCCGCACCATCCTGCAAACAACAAAATAATACTTGTTACACAATATAGAACAATCCCATCCCTTAAAAAAATATTCATAAGAAATTAGTCTGACAATCTTCTTAATGAGGGTATAAATAACAGAAATTTTCCAAAAATATGTGATATACTCTTCAAAATAATAAACAAATTGAATACAAGGGAATCCCACTTGTGTAATATAAATATCTCATCATATAAGAAACTATATGAAATTAAAAAAAATAAACATTTTATGCATTTTGAAACAAATCTCTAAAATCTATCAATTCCCATCACCCCCTCCCATTCCTAATAAGATCTCGGAAATCCATGAATTTCTCTCTCCCCACCCCCCACACAATCTCTCTCTCTCTCCTTCCTATCTCATCATAAATCATCTCACTAACTATATAATCACTACAGCCTCCCAAAACTCCCTTCATCCGCCATGGAAACAGCAGCAAATCCTTCTCCCAGCCGCTACGAAGCCCAAAAACGCCGTGATTGGAACACCTTCAGTCAGTACCTAAACAACCACCGCCCCCCTCTTCCCCTCCCCCGCTGCAACGGCGCTCACGTCCTCGACTTCCTCCGCTACTTAGACCAGTTCGGCAAAACCAAAGTCCACATCCCCACCTGCCCTTTTCACGGCCTTCCAAACCCTCCCGCTCCCTGTCCTTGCCCTGTCCGTCAAGCTTGGGGCAGCCTCGACGCACTTATCGGCCGCCTTCGCGCCGCCTTCGAGGAGAACGGAGGACGCCCTGAGTCCAACCCTTTTGGAGCCCGCGCCGTGCGGATTTATCTACGAGAAGTGCGGGAGATGCAGGCGAAGGCTAGGGGGATCAGCTATGATAAAAAGAAGCGTCGCAAAACAAGTGGCGCTGCGCTGAGTTAATGGTACGCATGTGGTTTTGATATGTTGTGGTAAGTATACTGGCATGGACAAGTTGTGCACTGTGGATTTTATGTTGTTTGTGGGATCTGTTTATATTTTATTTATTTTTGTGGTGGAAGGATGGAGTTGAGAATGTGTCAGCTTTGCTTTTAGTTTCAGTAGGTTTCATTTTTTGTGCGTGTTTGCGTTTTTGTTTGGTTTGTTGCCTTTCTCTACTGTGTTTGTTTATGCTAGTTTAAGCTCATGTGACAATGTACATCTGCTTCTGTTGGTTCATGATTACAATTAGGTTGCCTTTTGAGTACTGTGTCTTTCATGATTGAAACTAGGGTTCGGCCTCGGCTATAATCATGTTCCAAGGGCTTTCAGCTCCTGTTACTATGTACAGATGATTATGTACACCATATTCATTCTAGATAAATATATATGAGGCAATCAAGACCATTCATTTAAGGGAGAGGATTTTTTTCTCAAATTTGTTCTAGGTAGGCTCAATGTCAGTGCAATATAAGATGGTTGCAAGGCTAGTTCTAATATAATGTATGCCCGTGTTTAGAAGTATATGTTTAGTCTATGTTCGATCTGAGGAAATATATCATAATTACATTCCTTAAGATTGGTGCCTATGATCTTGAGGTTGGAAGCCAGAACATAAATCAGTTTAGATTTGCCATTTAGTTGAGAAATTTGACATGTAACTTTCAAATACGTAGAGCACATGATTGAAATTGAATGTCTATTTTACTCTATAATCTACAATATCAAATTGCCTAACAACATATAATATATTAGGGACATATTACACTCAATAAGCCATTTTTTTTATGATAACTCTATTTGGAAGCTCCTAAATGGTCCTTCATACATTGGTTGTATATATCAAAGTTGGTTATCAAGGCTTTTACAAAACTTTCTTTAAAGCATTAATGAAGTTTGGATTATATTTGATTTGAATGATTGATTACCTTCAAAAAGCAAAAAAAAATATTAAAAAATAAATTTTTTCTTGCATTATCATAGGCATAGTTTGCCATCTTTAGCCAACTATTGAATGCATTAAGCTTCTCAAAGTAGTGATTTTATTATTATTGATCATAAGTACAAGAATCACAACTACTTATCCGAATAGGACACCTCACTTAAAATAGTACCAATGACAATTACCTTTTTCTTAATTTTAACTTAATTTGCTAGATCAATCATTTTCAACAAATATCTTAGTTGGATCCTATTTTCTTATCCTACTCCTCTAAACATGAATTAGCCTATTTTCTATGAATTACACAAATGAGGGTCATTTAATTGAGGAGTATAAGGATATTCTTTATTATGTTAATTTTTTCTTTAAAAGGTTATTATCTTCTCTGTCTCACCCTCTTCATTAGACGTTTGTATTATTGATATCTAGTCTTAATTAACTAATTCCAAAGCTTCTTTAAAGCAAAACCATCTTTTTTACACGCGTGCCTTCATGAGCGGTTGCTTGATTTTCTTGTCACTGTAAGTATTAATTTATTTAGAAATGATGCTCTTACTAAGGTGAATACTAAGGAGTCCATTCTATTATGAAAAGAAAAAAATAACTAATAAAGTCTATTAAAATATTACATTTACAAGACTAATTTATGTATGCTTTTTTTATTATGAAAACTTTGAATGGGAAGAAGAACTCTTCAATGGTTATGTTTTCTCTTAAAATTTTCATTGTTACAAGCTAGTTCATATACTAATTAAAATTTTGTTAAGCTTCATCTTGCCTTTCAAGGATTCATTAGGTTCTTTAAGTGACTCTTATAACTTTTATGATTTGATTTGATTTTATATATATTTATATATTCTTTATTATGATATGTATTTGTTTTATTTAATTCTACCTCAATCATACATTAAAAAAATGATATGTTCTACATGCATTAAGAACTATCATTAGAACATAGTCTAGTTTCCTGCTACTTTTAAAAATCACATTGCTAAGTTTGTCTCCACCTAAGGTCGTAATTGAGTTGGTTAAAGTCGAGTAAGTGTTGGATTAGACATGGCTTGATCATATTATAAGTTTTTCATTTTTGACTCAAGCTCAAACATTACTACATGTATACTTATACTCGGCTTATTAAAATTTTATAATAACTATATTTGGCTTATTTATACCAAGCAAACAAGTACTTTAAAAAATTTTAAAAAGGTAAAAATTTAAATAATTTTTTGCCCTTTTTTATAAATTTAAGTAGGCTTTCTTGCCATCAAATAATATGAACAAGTACTTAAAAATGAGGTCTTTGAATAAAAAAAAAAGGAAAGTTAATAAATTAATATTTATATTAATATTAAACTGTAATATATAATTATTAGATATAGAATTACATAAATTCTAATTAAGCAAGTTCTTTTTAAATAATATATCATATATGATATGATTTATCATGGATCTTATTGTAGACCACTTGAAAAATTATTTTCTGAATAATAAATAAGTTTGTTTGTGAATATAAATAAATGAGTTTAATTGTATTTAAATTTAGTTCATTTAACCTTCAAATTTTTAAAAATTATTCAAACTTGTATATTTACTGATGTGAAAATACACTATAGAGTATCAATTGATCTAAGTTTGAGTTATTATATGAATGCATTAGTTCATGCACAAATGTAGCTCTACCCATCAATTTGCTCAGTGTTACCAGTTTTTGTTAATAGATTGCAGATTCAAATATTATTCATCATTTTCACATTAGTGCTTCTAAGTGCTAAAAAAGGTTAAACTTCAACGCCTCCTTGCATATAGCTCTGCCTATCCTTTGAGGATACTAGGCCTGCGTTCGTATTTATGGGTCATGATGATAAAAGTTTGTGAATATTTGAGTGTGTGTGCGCGTGTTCAATGCAAAGAAAGATGATATAGCATACTTTCCTAGTCATAGTTAGTTAAATGATGTTTTAAATATGTTATTATGTTAGCTTTATTAAACAAATTAATATTTATAACTACTTTGAAATCTTTTTTTTTTAATTACATGTAGTTGATCTATATGGAGTTAATAGGAAGCAAGAAATAGTCTTTCATGTCCTAAGAATGGTTGATCATGTAATCAAAATTATATGTTTTTAGATAAAAATTTAAGAGCACAAGCTAAAGGAATATATGCTACTTAGTTCATGTTGGTAGAGGTCAAAAGTTTTAGTCTAGCTTCATGATTTTAAATAAATAAAAATTCAATATGAAAGTCAAACTATAATAAATTGCAGGATATCATTTTTTTCAATTAGACTGATGGATAAAATATGATTTTGGCTTTTTGTCCTATTTTTAAACTAAAACATAATTTTTGTAAAAATAGACATTATTAAAGTAGCTTCATGCAAGTCATATTTTTCTTGAGCTTTAAAATTTTATTGATATAGTTTTAACAGATAAAGCTTGTTTAAATATTAAGTCATTTGAAATAAAGTTGACACAAAGCCAGATGCTAAGCTTTAAACACTTATTAAGAAGAATAGTAGCTAGCGATCACTCTATTTTTCCAAACCTAGGCATTATCTTCTTTTCCTTGAACCCTAACCAAAACTTTAATTGCTATTACTTCTTTTTTAATATAGCTCAACAACATTGTTGCCTCCTTCTTATCCAGCTTGTCGCTACCACCGAAGCTCTAGTACCTAGTCCTTCAAAATGAGATGCCATTATCATTAATCCCATTGACACTCTCACCCCAATTTCTAACCTTGTATTTGGGTGCCCTTCTTCGTAATGCTTAAAGTGCCACCTCCTCTCATGATTAGCTATAATAAGAACTAGGAGTGCAACCTCGTTTTCTCTTATTACTAGTTTCTAGACATCATCTTTCTTCTGACATCTTAGATTATCTAGCTTGAATTGCTCTCCTAATGGCATATTTCATTGTCATTTCCTCTACTAGGATACAAGCATCTCTTATTGTCATCATTTTTCTCTTATTAGATTTTAAGTGGCTCCTCTTGAGATCTTATTAGCATCAACTTTACCTAATCCAAATACTATTGGTGGCCCAACATCTTAACTTGTTTTTACCTTTTTTGTATCCTTCATGTTTTGTTTTTTCAGCTCTTGTTTGATCCAAAATGTAAAACCCTTGAATTTTCTTTTTATGTCTTCAACCTTTGCTTTACTCATCTCACCAACTAAGGTAAATTTGTTCTTTTCGTACAAGATAAATTTGATTTAAGATAAAAATATCCATTAAAATTAACTTCAATGGAAAAAAAATGTGGTTGCTAACCTCATTTTAATTTTATTATTTTGTCTTTTATGCTTTAAAATTCTTTTGGTATTTTCTCCACATCAAAGGGCATGACCTCATCAGCACAGATTCATGATCGAGTGGACGATGGACGGTTTAAGTAGATGAGTCACCATTAGCCTCACTAACGAGTTTGTGTAGAGATGAGTGAACCAGCACAAACCAGGGAATTGGCTGAATCTTGTTTAATTATCTTCAAATGCAGGGAGAATTAGGTGTTCGGATTTTTTCTAACACCTCAAAAGTTCACTTTACATTCTTTTAACTATAAACCGAATGCAAAAAAAAAAAAAAAAAATGTTAATGAAATAATACAGATTAAATGTCTCCAATCAAACAAGCTCTAAAGAGATACAAAACCTGTATTGCTTTGATCTTCAATTGATGGTTTGAACTCTTGATGCAGTAAACATTCCATCTTCATGATCACCACTCGAATTCTTATTAATTTATATATATATCTTCAATCACTACCGCATTAAATCTTCTCCTTCTCTAGAGGTATTCTAGTTTCCTGCTCACTTTACTGTTAACTTGTGGTCACATTCCTCTTAATGAACACATGTGATATTTTCTTTTGGGATCCTCCAAGCCTTCGACCTTTCCTTTGACATTTTATTTTTTACATCGATCGAGATTATGCTAAATCTTGCCAATGAGCTTATTCAAAGTTCTCCTCATCAACTTCCAGTTATGATATTAATTTTTCTCATTTATATAGGATGCAAACATGCACAACAACAATAGGTTAGAAAAAATAAATTGATGTATTTTAATTTTCTTATACAATAGCAGCCTCAAATCTATTCAATTAAGACAGGAGTGGAGCCTGGATTCCCACAGATCTCAATTAATAGCTGTCATTTATTGAAGGATAAGATGAAACAAATGACATG